TCTATTATTAGGAGAGTTTGCTGTATAAGCTATAAATTTAAAGTTGTATAATATTCTAGTTATAGGTAATCAGCGTATTTATATTAAAATTCGTCGTCGGTAGAGTTCTTTTAACAAAATCTCACAATTTCCTCCAGAACGGAGTAGGTACACTCCATTGCGACTTTGATCTTTAAATAAGCACCTCGTCTACTACCTTCGTTCGTCACCCCCTACAAGGGATGTGCTTCGCTGAACCGGATCAATCCTAAGCAAATAGCCCTAATACATTTCCATAACGCTATTTGTTTGATAGACTGGAGAGGGACTCTTCGTAGAAAAGCTGTAGCTGTATAATGTTTCCATAAATCCACTCTCTTATGAAGATATGAAGAAAATTCTAACTTATGCCTTCTTTATGCTTATGTCTTGTGTCCTTATATGATATAGAGATATAAAACACGAAGGGCCTTGGTTGATGAATCATGAAATGTAGAGGTTTCATTTAAAAACAACATAAGTCTCTTTATCATCGCAATGATTCGCCGATTCCGTATAATTATTAGTCGTCGATTTGGCCATCGGAAGACATGGCCGCCGCCGTCGGTGCCGGGTACGTCTAAACGGTTATAAATAGCCGAAACAGCATATCGACAAGTGAACGGGGTGATTAGTCATGACGATGGAGTCGATGTTTGTTATGGCAACTCGTAAACCGATTACATGAGTTCGATTCTGTTAGTAAATGCGGTAACGTTGACTTTGTTGTAATCATTGTTTTGGTAATGTTACGCCTGATATAGGGACTGAGAAGTCAAACAATTAATGCTCATCGCTCAACCATGGTCCTAACACATCTAATGGAGCTAACACCTGCTGATAAGATCAGGGTCGAATGCTTAATTTCATCTTGGACTCACGTCCAAACATATATTTCTTTATAATCAGCATTCTTATTGATAGTTATACCGTATCTGCAAGTATGTACATTTTAGGTCACAGGCATCGGCTGATGGGAATATGTTTACGAAGACCGCGACATCCCTCGAGGTCGGTTAAATAACTGATTGAGTGGAGTGGACTGCCGCGTGGCGTAACCAATATTTCTTTGCTTGCTTAAAACTTTCTATTGCCGACTGCGTTCAAAGAGTTAGATTTTATACAAATATTGTATTTATTCATGAAATCGAACATTTCAATTTCGAGGATGTATCGAAGCGCAGAAGCAAGCTACAACAGCACGACCAATGTCCAGGCCTCTACGACAACAAAACAACTTTGGTCAAAACATAAGCGACACACTTAGATTCGATCTCAGATTTCTGACATAATTTCCAGTCCCATCAATCCCGATAAGATCTTTTCGGTTATCTCGAAACGATAATACTTGACATCACGCACGAGTGTTGCCAACTCGGCAAGATTAACTGGATGTGACCTGTGTGAGGCGAACACAATGTATTTGAACACGCTTTTGTGCTTGGGTAACACTAAGAACTGTAAGATTGATCGATGCGACGTCAGACGAGCGAGCGGGTTCGCGTAGTCAGTCCTGGAACAATTAAAGTACGCTAACATTTGGAAATTAATAAATTTAAACCGTGATTATTCAAATTTTCAGTCGCTGACGGCTACCTTTTGGATCTAAAAATGATTTTCCAAACACGTATCGACGATCGACGATACTGTCAACGCTGCCCTTTACAAATACGGCATAATCGCTGCTAAACTACGCCAGTACCGAAATAGTTGTCCCGCAGGTACACGCTAATAGATGACCCTCTATTTAGGTCAGTAATGCCGTCTGGCTGCTAAGGCACTGTCCCAAATTGTCTCTCGTCTCGTTTAATTATACCGTTTTGTTGAGAATCTTCTCTAACTTGACTGCGTTTTTTTGTTCCAACATCTATGAATTACACATATCACATATGTGTAAATAAATTTAAAAATAAAGAATGAATGAGCACACCAAACGTAATGAGCTCGTTTTTTTCATATAACTCAAGTCATATGCACACGTATCTGTATCGAAACGGCTCTCGGCGCTATAATAGCAGATATACCTAGGTACTAGAATTTCCGTGCCGGCGTCCACCCGCCATCCAAAACATTCTTAAAGGGCACGAGGTGAAGGACGCGAAGCCAATCGATACATCGTCTGAGCATCCGGCTGAAGCGTCTTCGACTGTGCTCACATACGAATAAGACTCGAAATCGCCCAAACGCGCCTTCTCCGCCTATTGGATGTTTTGATGTAACACGTGTTAGTGTGTTGGGAAAAGGAGGCGCTCAGATAGACGCGGACGCCGTAATTAATATATTCCGACGGCAATGTCGCTCCGGCTCGAGTGCGTGGGTGTGTTTGTTGGGACTGTTTGGAAAGATTAATTAACTTAAGTAAATACTTATATTATAACTTGGAGGTCGATCGAAGCTCCATTTTCCGGTTCCCAAATGAAACAAAAGCTAAAAGATGTCGGAGAATGCTTAATAAGTTTCATTAAGCTCTTATAGTTAGACAATGTAAAGAGTCGCGTAAAGTTGTCGATTAGCACATACTATCTACATCTATATTTCAATTAGACAAAACGTGCAATTATGATATTACTTTTTGTAATTAATTTATAACGCTACTTGATTTGAGGTGAACTATATTATATATAGTTTGATGCAGGCGCGCCCGGCCGATTGCAAGCTTCTTTATAAATCAATGTGTTAACAGAACTTGAAATGTGCGATACTAAAAGATGATACTAAGGATTGTGGTTGTACCAAGCCACATTCGGCTTCCACTATAAGGCAATATGTAGTCAGGATGTCGTGGCACACGAGCGACTGGCGATTTGGCGAACCTAGATCATAAGCCGACTTTATAGCGGAGCATGCTATCGTGGTATCGATTCGCTCAAGTGTACGTGGCCTATTTCCTTTGCTTACGTCATCGCTAGGCTCGAGAAATGTGCCTGGAGTAATGTGGCTCGAGAAATGTAATAAATAAATAATCAATAAACTCAAGAAATTGGTATAAATTGTAGACCAGAATATAACCGCCGTTATATAAAGGATCAATTATTGTATTCATTCCAAATCTGAATGTTAGATCTTTTATACTTTATACTAGACATTGTGCGCTTTTAAGGCACAATATGGTTAAAAATGGTCAACGGAAGATCTATTTTCGCAGAAATGTTTATTAGAAAAGTTAATACTTTAGCTAGCCCTGATTCGCCTGAATGTCCCGTGTGAACACTATCGCGTAGTTTACGCGTTACGATGCAGATAAAACTGTTTACCACTATACGTTGCGTGTTTGTAGGTCAAATATGTTTATACACATTCTGGCACTTAAAGAAACATTATCTAGCTGCATCATTGCATGATAAAAATTTCTTACACAAACCGGGCTCGAATCTACTACGCATTATGCAAATCTTAAGTTATTATTAATTACCCATAAATGGTTTGTTGTTTACGTCGCATAATGAAGTGGCCCTTCCGAGTACATATACCTAATCGTGCAGCTCGCTGTTTGTTTCAGATAACATCGCATTATCGCTCCATAGATCGTAAACATTGAGTTATGACTACCTTCACTATTTACCTCTTGGAACGTACTTAATGGCCTGCGTAGATTTACACGTGGATGAGGTTTCGTTAAATCAAACTTACTTTGACACTCGTCATTAGGTGCTGAAAATCAGATTTGTTAAATTACCATTTATATTGCAAGTATCATTAAAAGTTTTTAAAATCTTTAATGAATATATAGTAAACAAATATTGCTCCACGATGAGTTATCTAAGAGGGGGCCGTGTCACGCTGGACCTTTAGATAATTGTAAGCCGCGTGCGTTGAATCGCGATGAATGGAAAAAACCTGAATGGGCGCGATATTAACTAGCGGACGTGTAGCTCGGATTGTCAACGAAATGTCTACTTAGTTTGGTGTGCTTTAATTAAGAATAATTAAGAATGAATACATGATTTTAGATTTCACTATTGATAAACATACGATTTAATTTACAAATCGAAAATAAATTGAAAAGCTTTCGACTCGGCCAGACTTGCACCGGCATCGTCAGCGTTCCGTGCTGTTGCTCTAATAATTGAGCAAGTCCTACACCTGATCGTCGATTTTTTAAACTTATAATATACGTGCACCCCTCGCGCTATGTGCAAATACTGCCCGTGTCGAAAAATATTTTTTAATTTATTTTCGATTTTTTAATTATATAGTGCCTTCGTGTGCAATAACATGTAAAAAAAATAATAAAGTTTTCAAACGTTATAACTTTGTAATTTCATCTCCAATGATTTCTTAAGCTGCAAAGCATAAGACGCTGAACCTTAATGCGCAAGTGTTAAGGTTGAAATTATTGCGCGAGAAGTGCACGTATCAATAAGTTGTGAGAATTCGACGATGAGGTGTAGGACTCGGTGGCTCAATTGGCAGAGCAACAGTACGGAACGCTGACGATGCCGGTTCAAATCCTGCCCGAGTCGATAATATTTTCGATTTTTAAATTATATAATGCCTTCATGTGCAATATAAACAATATTAAAGTTTTCAAACATACGATTTTGTTGGAATGGGAAGTAACATCACTGTAGACATGTTTAAAAACCCAGCTATCTCGTCGCGCGTCGACTGCACATAAACGGTTCCGTTTGGTTACATAATGTGATATTTGGCAGTCGTTTACACCGGATCGATCAGACTGCCTAGCTGTCTTTGAACTGGCCGCAGCGTTGCCGACCCATGTTGACAAACACCACGAAAAAGGACTAAATATGAATGTAGGCGCAATACTTACGCCATTTGTAATACTTGATATTATTAAGTCAAATAAGTACATAATACGTTCCAGCGCACCTATGTGGTTAAATATTTGACTAAGAATTATTATTATTGGTACATCAGGTTTATTAAAAGCACGCACAAATCTGGGTGTTTTTTGCACTTCAAAGTTCAGTACGTGGATTTCCAAAAATGAAAGTAAAATTCCACACGTCTCATTTCAGATGCACACTACGATTCCCCTCAACAAATATCCGGCTGGAGTTCCAATCTCTGGTGGAGGAGAGCGGCGGAGCCGGTGGCAGCACCGGGCCTCCTCTGCCACCACTACGTATCACCATCCCCATGGACAACGACGGCAGGAGTCCGGCGCCATCACCCACAGGTGAGCCTCGCTACGCTACCTCTTTTTTTATATTGGTTCTTTTTGAATTCATTCATAATGAAACAATTGTTCACTAAATGCAACTTTGTTAAATAATTTTAATGACCGTATTTGGTTAATTACTAGACAAAAAAATGTCTTATCATAATAGTGTTCCTTCTTATTAGTGATCACTCCATATTCACAAAAATTTGTATTGCACAAAAAGATCGCGGTATCAGTTTTATGGAACTGCATTCCAAAAAAATTTGCAATAATTGCCAAACATTAAAAGATAACTTGTCAATCAATATTAGAACTATAATTCCAAACACTGTTGTGTCCCTTACAGGTACTATAAGCGCCACGAACAGTTGCCCGACGTCCCCGCGAGGGGCAGGTTCATCAGGGAGACGCCACGCCGACCTAGGCCTGGTCGCGCAGTACGCAGTCATGGCTGAGCATCAGCGGCCTACTTCGAACGGGAACGCTGTAAGTCGGTCGCGAATTCGACTTCTAGAGCATTTCATAGATCTTGATTTGCATTACACGCAAGAGTTTCTAAAAAAAAGCCCATCCGCAAGGACTAGTATCGACATCTTTTGTGAATAGTGGTGGACTTCAAATATTAAATCTAAATTTTAACTTTTGACTATATATAAATGCAAATGTTTCAATTAGAATTTTTAAAACTTGTTCTACATGGCTTTTGTATTTTAATTGAAATAATCATATAGATTGTTATCAATTCCAGTCATCTTCGACGTCGGAGTACAGTGTGCGCGAGCCGCGTGACGTACGCGAACATCGCGACCGCTCGGAGGACGCTTCTAAGCCCCCGTACAGCTACGCGCAGTTAATAGTGCAGGCCGTGGCCTCGGCCCCCGACAAACAGCTCACGCTCAGCGGCATATACAGCTACATAACGAAGCACTATCCCTACTACCGAACCGCCGACAAGGGCTGGCAGAACTCGATACGTCATAATTTGTCACTTAACAGGTACGGAAAGCTTTGTAGCTTTTCACATCCGACTCGAAGGACCTATTAAGACCGATATTGTATTGTAGCGCCTGATGGTTTCAGATACTTCATAAAAGTGCCGCGCAGCCAGGAGGAGCCGGGCAAGGGCAGCTTCTGGCGGATCGACCCGCAGAGCGAGGGCAAGCTCATCGAGCTGGCCTTTCGGCCGAGGCGTCCTCGGGGTGTGCAGTTCCGCGCGCCGTTCGGTCTCTCCTCTAGGTAAATAATAGGGGCTACAGACATTTCTGTACTTGTTGTGTTACAATAAAAACATAGACATATTACTTACAACAATTCTAAATTATAATTGCAAAAAAGTGTCTGACCCAAGTAACAACAAAATACCACTTACTTAGTTAAGTCACTTTTAAGTCGGTCAAAGGGTTTATATTGATTTGCACACAGTTGAAAATTGGCATGACTCTTGGAATATGCTTAGTTAAAACAACCACATCGACGTGCAGGTGTTTTACTCTAATTTTGTCTTTTGCATAAAGGCTGTAGCCACTTACAGCATTCGTTGGAATTAACCAAAACAGACTGAGTCACAATCATCGTAAATTAACGTAATGACGTCATTATAGTCACTCTTCACATTTAAGTTAAGCTGCTTATGATTTTAGAATTAACTCTTCCTTTTCTCTTAGATTCAATAGAATTTTGATGAAAAATATTTGAAGTCGAAGTTTTCCAAGAGTGGGAACCAGTGAGTGTTTGTTATTATCACACCATTACCTTAAATTTAAGATAGCGAAAAATTATGGTTTCATTCTTTAATATTCAATGGTTATGTTATACATTCTAATTATACCCAAAATACGACTTGTAGGTCTGCACGTCTGTGTCAAACACATGCTATGGGTTAAAGACATCTTAAACTGAAAATTTCAAGATGATTGGATTATATTAACGCGGCCTTAACAAAAATCAGTGTATTTGTCAATTCAGTGTAATGCATACATTTAAAAGCAATATTTCATCTTCAGGAGTGCGCCGACGTCTCCATCGCAAGTGGGCGTGTCCGGTCTGGTTACGCCCGAGGAGTTGTCTCGCGAGCCCACGCCCGACCTCTTCACCGGTGATGAAAACGACCATCAGGTGAGTGTGTGAATCTATCAAAGCTTACTTTAAATCTGGAGACAAAAAAGTATTTGTAGAGGAGGCAGATTGAAAATTCAATGTATTACTGAAACGGACATTAGTACATCTGGTTCCTGGTTTGATTGAAAAGGATTGGAAGTGTGAAATAATTTAATTCTGTCAAATAATTTATAATGAAGCTTCAAGTTTTTTTTTAATTCGATAAAACAATTGTTTTTCTAGGGCGGTCAGCAGCGACTTAACAGCAGCAGCAATAATAACAACAGCCACTCCGCTCAGTACCTGTTCCCGCAACGCTCCGGTGTCAGTCAGAGCGCGCCCGGCTCTCCTGGTAAACAATCCTCCTCAAAGGACTTTTTCTGTAAACACCGTAGATAATATAGCTAAATGTGATTAAAAAGAAGCTTTAGAATCTCGACATTCTTATACATTACATACATTTTTATACGACTTGGTGTGTTAGGCACAGGTGGCTCGTCATTCAGCGCAGGCGGAAGCGGGAGCGGTGGAGGTCTCATGATGGCGGGACATCACATCACTGTTGTCACAAACGGGGCTGGCGGCGAACGAGAAGGTGAAGTGATATTTAAAAAGAAAACAGTCACTGATTTAAAGAGCACCGTGCTACGGCGGCTTAACATAATACGCTAGACATTTTTATATTCATGGAGCTTATAGGATGTATATTATTCGACTTGCAGAAAAGTACGTTGTGGGTACGACCGGTGGCAACCTGGTGTCCATACCCGAGGAGGAGGTCCAAGGCAATATGCTGCACCAACACTCGCCCTATTATGCGTGAGTATATTATATAAGTACTTTGTATTACATGTAAAGGACGCTGAAAAAGTGTTGATAATAGACGCGAAACTGAAAAATACTATTCCAGTGGATACGCCGGTGACGAGGGGTGCGGCGCCCTCGGCGGTGAGCTGGTCATCGAGGAGGCGCCCGATGAGCCGCCCCACAAGCGCAACAAGCACCGACACGTCAGTACACGACGATAGATATAAATGTCGCATAGAATCGCTAAATTCTCAAGTACATCTCTCATCTCCCATTCCAGGTCTCCGACATGGACGACCGGCGCGCATATTGACAACCCGCAAGCACGGTCGCGTGACACGAGCGCGCCGACCCCGCTCCGCCGAAGAGGGGCTCGCTCGTGCGACGCGCACCGCCCAAGCGCTCCACGGCCGCTGTGACGTCATCAAGTAGTAACCGAGGGCGAGACGGCTCTAAGTAGTTGTGGATTCTTGTACGCGGGCGGCGGTTATTCCACCGCTGTTCGATGAGAATAACCATTTATTATTTTTCGATGTCATAGAGCCAGGAACGTCGGTACGCGCCGCGACACGACTCACAAAGTGTGTATTAGCAATAAATAGACTTATCTCGGACGTTAACGTGTTAAGAGTACAGTGTCGTTTCGTGCGCTTCGGTTTCCTTTCGCATACTTTAAGTTAATGCCGTACATATGTACACAGTGACGTACCGTCGGCGTGAAAAGCCGGGGCCCTCCATTGACTGTACCACGGACGACTTTGAAGTGCAATGTTACAGTTTTAGTTTTAGTCGGCGGGCACTCGAGTGCCAGACGAGACCGACGCTCGGCTGGGTGTTTAATGTCCACAAATATGCCGGGACATGTTGAATCTCTATCAAAATACATGTCTCACGGTCTCTAGGATGCGATTCTAGCGAGACCGAGGGTCCCAGAATGTTAAACTTTGACAGCGACGAAATTTTTGAGGTTCTTAATGTGAAATAATGTGACCGCTGCGACGGCCGAGGGCCGGATAGGCGTAGATACAAATGTATGTCTGCCGTGCATCGCGGTGTTTCCTGAATAATAGACCCGTGAAATATACGAATTTCAAGCGAAGTACAAGTTTTTAAGAATTTTTCAGTTCTTGTATTTAGTAAAAATATATAGAAATGTTCCTTTTTATATTACTGCGTAATTCTCATATTGTGTACGCGTATTATAGAAACAATATCTCGATAAGGCGAAATAGATTATTTTGTTGTAAGTTGAATTTTAATAGAAAATTGAATGTTGACCTCTCTTCAGTTCTCTGGTGGTGTTTTAACGAGGGTTTCTTAAGGAAATGTACATGCCACAATTTCACATTTGGTTGGCTCTGTCTCGGAAACTTATACGCATTCATAAATAGATATGTCGGTACGATTTCATAAGTCCTCAAATTTAAGCGGCACCGAATATTGTAATTGCAAATATATAATTTAAGCTCAGACAAGTATAATCGGTTATACTGTGACGATTCTATAATTTTGGACATCAAAAATTGTTTTCTGATTGACGGTTACACTGCGTTTCATGAAACGTTTTCGGTGTAACGACGCGAATGCACAGGTAAACCGGAAAGTCTAGCATAATCTACGACTATATTTACCAAGATTCCGATCTAAATGCTTTCCCGGGATCTTGACTCGCCTGTCCTCTAGCGAAACTAGTAGGAACTTCGCTTTCTACCCCCCCCTTATATAATGTATAAAAGTTATATACGATTATTATGTAATAATCTTAGCACTATATTATTAGTTTTAGAAATATTATAATATTTGTTAGTGTATAAATTGAAACAACACGGAAAGCACGTAGTTTAGCATTTAAAGTATATTATAAAGTATAATCTAGTGAGAGGCTTTATTACGAAAGGTTGACGCTCCCATTTATCGAATATAGCGATCAAAGAGTTGTATTAAACTGGCATAGCCGTTTATTATAGTGTGTGCGTGCGAATCACGGCTGGACCGGTGTGTGTGTGCGGGCGCTTATATATTTGTGGATGTGTGCGTGCTGAGCGGAAAGGTCCAGCGCGAGGGTGGCTGGGCGTTATTGCAATAACGAGCGATTCGATCCGAGACAAAGCGATGCTTCGCCTTTGGACGCCTCCGTGTGGGTGGATAGAAGCGTTCGTTCGAATCGCGGGTGAATGGAACTGTATTATAGCTGTGGTTGGGGCATGCGTTAGTTATTTTTAAGAATAAACGAATACTTGCATACTGTTCAACTGACTCGACCGACAGGGCTCTTTCATCCCAACGAAAATGGAGAAAAGCAGCCGCGTAATATTATTTTAGTTCTTGCGAATACTATTTTTATTTTTTTCGTGAGTTTGTTGAAGCTTACGGGCGTTTCCATGGAACATCTTCCTCTCCGATAGGTGGCGCTGAAACCTATTATATTTTCGCCTTTAATTAAACCAAACAATTATACCTATAATTGCCTAGCATAGCAGTATTCTGAAAATAATTTCTTAAACAAATACGGGAGTAGTATTTGCCGTTAACTTCAACAAAACTAGCAATTTGTGAAATATGCTCTGATAGAGGATAAACCCCCTACTTTCGGCTCGCGGTCACTGAATAGTATGTATACATACGATTGACTTATCAAACCACTTATTGGCATTCAAAATGCTACTTTACTAAAATTGTGTTAACTACGACGCTCCAAATGCTGCGCAATGACTATTGCAGAGTTAAGTTTCGCAGGTCTGCGCGGATTGACGTAGCTACGACTGTACGTTCGTTCGACTCTACATTATTCGAAGCCACTAAAAGTATAATTCTTCCGAAATATTACCATTGAAGTGTATCCAAAAGAGCATTGGTATTTAGTTATCTGTTCACATGCAATATCACACACCTAGGGTTGAGTTAGCATCGTCTCATAGGTTCGTTGTGTGGCGCCGGATTATTTGACAAATTTAAGAAATAAACGTATTTTATCTCCTTATTCGACTCGTTTCATTCACCTATGAATTATGCCACCAGAGCACCTTTTTTAATATTCTTTTATACATTAGATTTCTTTGTGTACTGTATAAGGAACTGTTCTACGTTATTTTCAATTCTCTGATTACAGAGACACTTCAGATAATCAGACAAATTATACGCTACCTAATTTGAAGTCCAGTAACACTGAAATGTTTCTTCTTGGTGATTGATCCTATAAGTTATACAATCGACGAAATCTGCCGATTGAGGCGTAGGTCAAATGTTTGTACTTTTGTGGATTTAACGATGTTTGCTCATGTGAACTGGCTCGGGCGTGTTATTACATGGGTGTCGCGCCTCAAAGGGCTTTTGTAATGAGGTTTTTCTGATTGCTGTTTCTCAATTGGCGTATCCCGTATACGCCAACGTACTATTGTGTAATATCGCCACTAAAATCGTGTGGCGATGTTCGATTACAATGCACCAACGAGGGAATGCTTCTGCGGCAAATAAATAATAATCTTAAATAAAACACGTTACGTTTTAAACGGGCAAAAAGGACGAAATAAGAATACTTTTGTAGCCTACAGGTATGTATGTTATTTAGTAGCTAAGCCAAAAAAAATACTGACTCGTGTATCCCCGTAAATTACTTATCAATAATTATAAGATGCTTTTACTCAAAAATGGTGCCAGTGAGCCTTTACTTACAAGTATAACAATAAGAATTACTTTCAATAGGGTCACTTGCTCAAAGAATTATTGTTGGACCTACACTTGAATCTTAAGGTAATATATAACAGCCAAACCGCTACGCATCGTAGAATTCGGTGGGTTGCGTCATAAAACAGCCGTCTAAGACGCTTTCTAACTTTTCTAATCAAGCCAGTGCACACGAAGCATACGACTGTAAATTAAAATCGTCTCTGATTTCGAGGACATGAGTACTCAAGCAACATTTTAAGAAAAAAATATTAATACATATATGAAACCGAGGGTTACAAGGCTTATTTCATTTAGCATGCACTAAATGAAATATGCGATACAGGAACTTAAAATTATTAATGTATGAATCGTGCACCGTTAAATAAAGCTTTAAGCTGTGATGCTTCACGAGTTCTTAGGGTTGTTCCACATGCACAATTTTTATTTTACCTCATTACGAATAATTGTGTATGAACACGTCTTACTACGTCCGGAGAGTACATAGATTTCCAGATGAAGTGCACCATGTTTATGATCTAGAGGAATCGAATCCACCGACCGGCAGCAAACGCCGCTTGTGTCATTGTGACTGGCGCACAGAGGAGCGTATGCATATCGCAGTTGGCTTATATTCCAGAGTTGTCGTTCGCGACGCGGCCTAACGATCCGAACAATGCTTGCGGCACTTCGCTGAAAGGCTTCTACTTTTAATGTCACTCAGACGTGCGATTCCATTTAATTTCACTCGAAAAACTTCACGCAGGCACCAGCTGGTACGTATAAACCCTGAAAATATAAAATATATCATAATATATACATAGAAATATGTATAAAGTGATAGGGACAAGGAACGAGACATGTACAAAATACCTCTAATTTGAAGATCCTTTACGATTTTCCAATCTCTAAAATCAGATATATTAAATATTAATATCGATGACGGTGTGCTCCCTCGTCAATTTGGGCAGTCCCGGCTGGCGTAATCAATATCAATTATTCAGTTACGAAATTAATTATTTATTTACTTTCCTTATTAAGTTCCTGTTAATACGAGGTACAAACAAAGACAGAGACGCGATTACCTTTGACGACTTTTCTATCTGTGCACGGTGTTGGTGAAGAGATTATTAATAGTTTCTAGTATCATGTCGGATCAGCTGAGATTTGAACTCACGACCCATTGTTTAGATGCTACCGTTGGATCAATGTGCCATCTAAAAGAAAATTATCAAGAACTATTGCACTCAACGTAAGAAACAATAGCACAAATAAATTTTTTAGTTCTTCCTAATTCAACTTTATTATTAAATATGAATTTATGCTAGGAATATTGAATCGGATTTTTTAAAAGAAAGTCTTTTGAAATATCGTTTAATGATGTCCAAACAAGTTTCCCAATTCGCTTTGTATAATTGCTTTTTTTTTAAGTTTTTGATGATTTTTGGCGGAAAATTGCTTCCACTTTATCATTGTAGTATCGACGAAGCTTAATAATTGAAATACTACATAGAACTGCCACACATATCTTTGTAAGTATTACGAGAAGGCAGCGCCAGTACGTAAATAAAGCGTAAATTAGCGATGTCCCGAGGCGCCAGAGCACACTTAAGACTGCGCTGATAACGAGCGAAGGTCGAGGGCGAGTGCGGGTGTCTTCGCGGAAGGACCCTTTGCACTCTCCATTTCACTTTATCGTGTTCTTGCAGCACTCGAATTCAAGTGCTGTGAAGCACTCAGGTGCATACATGGTTTGCATAAACATTTCTTTTTTTAAATAAAAAATCCCCCGCGCTATGTGAATAACAAGGATTTTGTCTCCTTCGTCGAGCCTCGCTATTACTGAAAGATTGTTTCCTTTTCGTCAAATTAAAAATGTTATTATATTCATTGAGAACTCTGCTTTAATTATTTGTTTCATATTTTTTATTGACTTTTTCAAAGCTGCTAAAATAATTTGTTGTTTAAAGCTTTTAAATATTATTTGATGCGTGATCAAAACCACTTTCACTGAAATTACCTCTAAGACTATTACATAACTAATTACGGAAGCTTACTTCTCAAGTGGAAAACAAACCACTTTAGATACAAAACATCGATATTATTAATATAAATACTGTGCATTGTGGAAAGTCGGAGTCATTAGCAACATGGCGTTGACTGACTTTATTGTATCGTTTTTATGTGTGTCCGCCGTTTCGGCCAAATGTATCACTGATATAGACAACGCTAAGATAGATCTAGAAGCGTATATCGATTTTAAAATTCCAGACATCAATCCCCGATTTAGACTTCACTATCATGTGACTCCACCGGTTGGCTGGATGAATGATCCCAACGGCTTCTCTTACCACGACGGAGAATTTCACCTTTTCTACCAATTTTACCCCTATGACAGCGTGTGGGGGCCGATGCACTGGGGCCACGTCTCGAGCCCGGATCTCGTTCACTGGAACCAGTTACCGACGGCTCTTTTGCCAGAAAAGGAACAGTGCTTCTCGGGCTCCGCCGTGAGCGTCGGAGACACCATGACGTTAATGTACACAGCTCACGAGGTCACAGACGTGGAGCCATTTTACAATGAGAGCCAGTACCTCGCGTTCAGCGATGACGGAGTGTACTTCTACAAGTACGATGGCAACCCAGTCTTACCGGCGGCGCCGAACGGTTCTCCGGACTTTCGTGACCCCAAAGTTTGGAAATACGGCAACGAGTGGTACGTAGTTCTCGGCAGCAAAACTGTGGACAAACGTGGAAGGGTCCTCTTGTATAAGTCAAAAGATTTAAAGGAATGGGAGTTTCTTTCGGTCCTAGGTGAATCGCAAGGCGATATGGGCTACATGTGGGAATGTCCAGACTTTTTTGAATTGGACGGAAAGTTCGTGCTTCTCATGTCCCCGCAAGGAATGCAGCCGGAAGGAGACCGTTATAAAAATACCTTTCAAAACGGATACATCATCGGTAGTTTTGATTACGAGAGTAACGAGTTTCATCCAGAAGTCGAGTTTCAAGAAATGGACTACGGACACGATTTCTATGCTGCGCAGACAGCGGAGCATAAGGGGAAGCGGTACGTCGTAGCCTGGTTCAGTATGTGGGAGGTGCCCCATCCAGAAGACGTAGACGGCTGGTCAGGAGCGATGACTATAGTGAGAGAACTCAAATTAATTGACGACAGAATTGTAATGAAGCCATTAGAAGAAATGTTGGAGTTACGTCATCATACTGTTATGCACGGTCGTCTTCGACCCCAAGAAGTGACCAGACTACCGCAGGCTACAGAACTCATTGTGGACGGAAATATACGACAAAGAATTGAGCTTTTTTTGCAAGGTGTAGATGGAGGTGGTAAGGTATGGGTACGCTGGGATCCTGCTGCCGGAAATGTGGTGGTAGATAGAGGAGCTGGAGATATCAGACAAGTGGAATGGTCACCGATCGGGACTACCACCTGGCGGATATTCTTGGATGCGAGTAGCTTGGAGTTATTCTGTGGTGAAGGTGAGGTGGTGTTCAGTAGCAGGGTGTATCCGCTAGGCGGGTGGAAACTTACGAATTTGAGTCGACAGTCTCTGAAGATCGAAGCGTATCATTTGAAACGTAGCGTTCCAGCTTAGAAGTTTTAAACTTTTATTTAAAGTAGTTTAATTTATTATTAAATTATTTATCGTAAAATATAAGTTGTTTTCTTTGCTAGTTAAAAAGTTACTCATCCCTACACGATTGTTTATTTATTTTTTAATTAACAAATAATCACTTATATTATGCCAACGTCGGCAACGTCTAAAGCAAGAGAACTTGTAACAAAAATGTGTGTGACATAATATTATGTGTGGGTACGACATTCAATTTTGTTTTTTCAAGGTTTCATTGTTCAAGGTTGCCGATTTTAATTTAGATAAAAAATCAATAACCTGTGAATCTATAGGCATTGAAATATTTCATAATATGAAGAAAATGTTTGAAAATAAAAAGGTATTGTTAACATCGTCATGGAATGGAAATAGGATAAGCTTACATAACATTTAAGTGAGAAATGTAAATCTTAGGTAATATTCGGTGTACTAATATAAGTTTTAAGGGATATAAATATTCCAAAAAGCAAACTTCTTATAGTCTTTCATCACATCTCTCCCGTATTATAAAATTGACGAACAATTTCCAGGTTTAATTAAGCATAACGCACTGAAAGATATATCAAATTGAAGAACATTATACACAGAGAAGGCACTATCAGTTCGGAGCCTCTCGAATAGGTCTTGCTTATTTTCGTGTAATCACTATAATTATGTTAAGTTTTTTAGGGTTTTAAACTATATTCCTAGTGAATTACAAAAATTGGTATAAATTTTAAATTGTACTTTTTTACTCAGGCACAAGACTAGTTTGATTACCGAGCCGATAGAGTGATAAAAAAAAAGATCTATGACGCTATTTGGAGATGGTTACTTAAATTGGGGCCCCAGAAGGTAACAGTCCTCGCAATGTTTATCTGTCGCTGACGTCCCATCACAAACAGCGGAGGTTGATTAATTTCACGCACAAGTTACGAGAGGCGTTCTGCGTGAAATCTTAACGATTATGACGGCAATTTGGGGCGAGGATAACAAATCGCGAGGAAGTAATTAGCTCCCAGTGCTCTTGCGGTACTCCAGCGAATAGTTATGGTAGAATTGCGGCGTGGTTCGCGGTGTACAGGTTTAACGATTTAAAACGCGATATATTTCTTTTTCAATATGATGTATTGCATAAAGTAGTAGCAGTAAAAACACGCGCTTACAATATTACGTTTTCCGAGCGGCCGTCGCACTATGTGTCGCCCGACCACATAAATAGCGGTATTTGTTTTCGCGAAATTATCGTCCACGAAATATGGCCCAAATGTAAATAACCTGAAATAAGTGAAGCGTGCGTGAACTCGTCGGCAAATATTTGTTTAGGACTGAGCCCGACCGGATTGAAGTCTGCATCATTACGTGTTATTAGATCGCTCGCGATGCGAGTGGAAAATTTTGTTATGCTTTTTCATTACCCGACTGTGGCCCTAATTAATTCATTTATTAAACATCGCAATTGTAGCCCTTTCTTTATGCACATAACCAATCGTTATCGTTCTTTTCCTTACTTCTACGTTTTAATCACTTATCATTTTAGTTTGAAATATTATCATTTTTAGATTTAGCGGCGAGTAAACTTTTATGATTCTAATATTTACTAGTTTCTGATTAAGCCTAAAGTATAGCTCTACTTATGAACACTGAAAATAATGACTTATGGAAAATAAGCACATACAGACTACCAGATTCGATTACGCATTGTGACCCTATAATGTTATTTCATGTACGAACACAATCCTAAAGCGTCGTCACAGGATAGATAGATTATGTTAATACCGTCAAGAATCAATTCATTCTTTGTTCCAAGAATTTCATCTATTATATATTTTCAAACAGCAGAAAATGCATTTATTATAACGTTTTACATAAGTCTTTCTAATGACATCGCATTCTAAACTTTATTTAAAATTGAAAAAATCTAAAAACGTCTTTAAAACGAACTGATTTTAGCCTATTAGTGCGAAATCGTAATAAACTGAACAGCACATTCAGAGGTCAACGTGAACAAACAGACAAAAAGAAATTGTATTTATCTACTTAGTTTTCTTTTCTTTTCTTACAAATTCATATTATCTACGAACTGAGAACGAGGTAATGAAACTGCATCATCTTATGGACAAATATATAAAGTTTTGGACAAAGATATGTGTCAATTTTATCTACTGTTACGGCAATCGTTAGCACATTCCCAGACCTTGAGGCTGCAAAAGGAAATTCAATTTGCCCCTAGTTACTATAAATATAAATCAATTTTGATTTCCATTAAGAACGCATTGTTACGTCGTCCCTTTCTACTTCCTGACCCATTGTCAACAGGAGTGAAGCAATTTTTTCTACTAAAGGTGCAAACAATTTTTTCATAAAACGCTAAGTCAATAAGAATCAAGAAACGAGGATATAACATTCTACGCAGTTTACAAAATAAAATGAAAGTTATTTTTGTCCTGATTTTTCACTGACTAAATATTCATGATAGAACCAAATTGCACATATCTATACCATAAGTATACTGTATGTTATATTTACACTACCTAGGATACTCTTAATAGGATGTGCAGAGAGCAGCTCCTTACTATTATTCTTTCGATTCTCCTTTACCCAAATTCATTGAATTGACCTGATGACCCTTTTGTAAATAATAAATTCCTTATTTCTAAAATTATTATCTTATATCGCGTAATTATTTCATTACGCATTCAAATTTTTTGTCTAATTTGTTATACAAAATGTAAGTATTCATACCCCAAAATAACTCCATAACGCATTTTTGTCTTACAAGTGTTTCATATGTGAATTGAAATCAAAACCCTCTTCTATGGGCGAGGAATCTGAAAAATAAAAACACATTATATAGATATTAACTTTAGTAAGAAGTTGGATGTTCTCAAAACGTACGAGTAACCCGCTAAGCTAACACGAAACGAGAACGATGTGGGAAGGAAGGTAAGACTTACCTTGGTAAGTTTGTGGCAAGTTTTAATATGAAATTGGCTGCATGTAATTAATATGCAACTGGTACACGCCGCATGTACACTGCTAATTACCTGATCGCGTTCACGTATCACGTAGCGTGTGTATGTCGATTCACGTTTTTCTTACTACTAACCAAAGAAACCGGCAAGCAGGCCGATTCTACTAGTTTAGTGTCTCCTAATTTTAAAACTACACGGCAGCGAAATGTCAAATCACGCAAACTTGACGCAAAAACGACATTAGACGGGGAACAAACATTTACGGACAATTAATCGATGAAAATTATAAAGCTACGAATAAAAGAACTGCCAAGTCTTATCATATATGTACTAGTTTTATTTTACACTACGCGGCTTCGTCCGCGTGGAATAGGATAGACTTGGAATTTTAAATAATAATTTATATAAGGGCGCATTTAAGGCAGCCAATGTCTGTTGTAAGGGCTACTTTCACCCCTCCCAACTCACATCACTTCTACTCTAACTCCGACACTCATTCCTACACTCACTTCCACTCCCACTCCTATTCCGAAAAAGCCAAAGAGGAAATTTTCGTTGTTCTAGCTTCAATTTCAAAAAACAACGAATTGCCATACAAACTTTCATCCCTTTTTCAACCTCTATCAATCCCTTTGGAATTAAGTAGCCCATGTCCTTGCTCAGGCTCTAAAATATCTGTGTACCAAATGTCATTTAAATCAGTTTAGTAGTTTCGGAGTTAAAGTCGGACAGACAGACAGACAGAGTTACTTTCTCATTTATAATATTAGTATAGATAAAGGTGATATTTCTTAATTGCAACGAAAATGATCATTTTGAACGAAGACATTGATAGTCCCCATTTTATGAATGCAGGCAATCAAACATCAATAGTAAATCTCATTAAAATGAGATTTCTCAGTGGGAATGTTGACATGTTTGAAACTTGCTCGGCATAAATTATTCATGGCATTTCAATCACAGCCGAAGTAGGCGCGAGGATAGCTTTCACGACAGAACTGGGTCCACTGGGACCTAATGAGGATCACGAGCCTCGGCGGACGGGGAGACCCGAGAAGACGAGCTCAGCACGTGGCCAAAAAATGTAGAATCGAACACTCAAGCGGCTAATGCGCGCTATTGCTTACCCGAGTTACGTTATTACATATTAATTACTTCTCCAAACAATGAAAAGGGTCTGCTTAGGCCGAAACGAACTACTGCCTCGGAACTGTCGTCGCGTCTTAATGAACTTGTCAAAAGCATTGAGATGGGTTCGCTTAAAATGTTTCACTTAATAGTCCTTTTAACGTTAGCAAACTTTGTAATGTGTTAGAAATTGAATCATTGCGTTACGTCAGGCTATACTTACTTTTCATCTATACCCGTCTATGCTACGAAAGGAAATGTCCTAAAGTGCGACCGAATATATGTCCACGTTAATTTATTTGAAATAGAAGCGAAACTAACTATTCTCAGCCTCCACGCTACGTAATGTGTAAGTGTGCTACGCCGTAGCACCGGCCATATAGCATGTCTAAGGAGTTTGATTGAATTTACCAAATTTGATGGAAATAACACTTTGATTTCCCACACATAACACATAATATAAATCATAAAAATGTATTTAAATAAAACATTTTTAACGGTTTAAACGCGAAAAATATTCGTTAATTTATTTTAATTACGGCCCTTTACAGTGTTTTATTTAATGTACTACTAGCATATTCCACATACAATAGTTGACATAGAAAATTATGTTTAATAATTACATAGATTCTCTTTTATTTATTTAAGTATTGCCTCTCATACCGTTTGCATGATTATGCTAAAACACGAACAAATAAAACCCCAGTAATGAACAGCAAAAGCCGTTACAATATAAACGAGTGTGAAACAAAGCGAATAATAGTTTATCGGTTATTGTGAAATGTTTATTGCTAAACTATATTTGCAGGATTAAATTAGAATTTGTCGAAAATGATGTGAATAAACTTCGCGAGATTAATCTCTCCGGTAATTAATTACTGAGTTTAACTTCGAGATAAA